GTCCCTTCCGACCCTAGAAACTATGAAACTATGAAAGTAGACTTCAAAATTGAGGGTCCCTCACAGACAAAACCCTCCAGTAATTCTCTTCTTTTATACCGTGGATGGAGGTGGTTAGCTATGCTAGACTGAAGTCAGAGAAAAAGTAAGGCAGTATCACCTGAGAAACTAAATTGGCTCAGAAAAACATGAGCTTTCAGAGGTAACATCTAATGAAGTCATTTGTTGCCTGTGAAAGCTCACAACTTTCTGAACCAGTCAGTTTCTAAGTATTACTCTGTCCTACCTTTGTACTGTAGGTGGATTAGTATTCAGTGTTTCTGCTGACCAGAGTTGTAGCAGGATGACAGAGTAAGCAAGGGGGGCTAGCCTTTTTTGGCTTGTGCCCCATTAATTAGCCTTGTACCCTCCCTGAGTGCCCTTCCCTTGCCCAATTTGCTTCTCTGCTTTCTGCTTCCTTCTGTGTGTTCTCTGCTCAATCTACTTTGCTTTCTGCTTCCTGCCCTGTCTGTCCCTGTGCTCTCTGATCTGCCATGTGCCATACACAGAGGCTGATCATGCTACTCAGGACTACAGGTTGGTCACCCCTGCTCTAAAGGCTACAGATCCTAACGTATATATTATTTTGATGTAAATATCTATACGTTTTTCTGCACCTAGAAACCAACAGTCAAATCAGTGACCATGTGAAAATATATTTGTCAAGCTTCACCACCTGTATCCTGAACTTAGTTTCGTTTCTAAGTTGATACAAGCTGTAGTTTCTTTAAAAGATATGATAGGCATGATCTAATCTTTAGGTAGTAAAGGCATGGATCACAGTGACCTGGTCTGCTTCCAAAAGAAACAAATACAATGTGTAAGCCAAAGAGACAAGGAAGAAAGCTTTTCTCAGTACTGTTGCTATGTGATAATTTAACAGGGGCCAGAAATCCAGCAACGCTCAAAATTATAAAACTTAAGCTATTAGCAACAAACACCTTGAGTAGGGGCACTTTTACATTCCTTGGCATATCTTCTGGTTGCTTCCTATGACTACCAATATCACCTCAATCTTACTGTACTAAACTTCAGCCAACTTGCTAATATCCTAGTTTTTGGAGGCCAACACAATCAAGAAAGTTATACCTTCAATAGAATAAATGCATCCAGCCCTTCAAAATTAGATGTTAATGGTTAGCCAGTGATATTGATTTGGTTTCCAACTGAATACTGCCTCAGTTCTAGTTCAAACACTAGATCAAGGGTGTGGAAAAAAAATCCTTCCCCTCTCTCTGTAGAAATCCTGCCTCTTTCTCTCTGCCTTACCTTGGGACATCCCACACACCCCTCCCCTTTCACCTATGCACTATTTGGTTTTAAACTGGTCATCTACACGGCTGAGAGGGAAATTCCTGAGGGAGTGGGGAGCTCACTCTTTCATTTGTTCTGGAGCAGGCTTTTGGGAAGATGAGGGGGAGTCATTTTTAGGCACAGACACTGAAGCCTCTAGCCTCTAGAGCTCTCTCGTTCTCTGGATGTATGTGTGAGTAACTAACCTGAAATTTAGCCCATATATTAGGGTTCCATGTGTTATGAGGACCAACAAGCCCATTCTGTTTTGCTCAAGGATTTTTTTTTGTAATACTCGTTTATCTTGTACTCCTTCCCCATTCTCCCTCTCTCTGATTAATAAAAGCTATCTGTTACAGCACACCTAGCTGTGAATGCTTGAGAGGAGGTACAGGCCTATTCGTGCCTAGCAGAGATTGACTGATTATTATATGATTCTGTTGTACCTGAAAATATCCTGGGTGGTTACAGGCTATAAGGAGCACACAGAAATACTACCAGTGGGCAAAGAATCCCCAAGGTCTGCAGGGTCTATGTACCCTGGGCTGCATAGAACCCGAACAGAGACCAGAGCCCGGGTGGTGGCAGCAATTACCCCAGGCTTCTGGGTGTGCTCCAGGAAGGGGGTCGACTGGACAGAGGCGCCTCAGGGGAGGAACCCAAAGTCGGATTTTGGTTGGTCATAGTGAGGCAGATGGCTCAGGTAGTAGTGCCCCCTACTGTTCTGCCACAAAGTACTACATGCATTGCAGCAGCTGAGAAAGTCTCATGGTAGTCACAAAGTCACACACACACTCATATATGGGGGGGCAACAGGGGGTTTGACATATTATACCATACCTTAAGCAATAGCAGGTTGGAAAGAGGACATTCCTCAGGAGGCTGAATTTTGTCCAACTGTTCTACTTTCTATTTTATAAAAGGTGGCAACCCTCACAATTTTCCCCTCAGCTTATGGGCCTGAATAAAAGTCAACCAACGATCGACTTCAGCATGATTTGAATCAGAAACTAAATGATTATACTATTTATGAAATGTATGTTTTGATTTGTTTGTTTTTTAAATCATTATTAGTTTATTTAAAATTACTGAATCATGCCCAACAAAAATATGCTCCAATGAACAATTTATATGCAAACTATTCCTGCCTGGGACTAGTCTGGATGCTTTATTTTTAACACATTATTGGAAAATAAATACTTATGAAGAATTGTTTATTTCAATATTACTACTTGACTTGAAAGAACCAAAAAGTGTACCCAAGCCACATCCTCAGTAGGAACAACTCTGCTGAGTTCAGTGAAACTGTACCTATTTACACTAGCTGGGGATCTAATGCAACTTCATTAGACAGGGGTGCCACAGCTTTTATGGTGGCACTAACAGTGAAGGAGTTAATGCTGCTGCTGCTCAGTCCCCATTGCCACAGCATTAACATGGTCAGCATCCAGGGAGCTCCTTTCTCAGGGAGCCCATTGCCTATAATCAGCTGCCACCATTCAGTTGCTGGTGGCAACTAAAAACTCTAAAATTGGCAACAGTGTCCACCCCTGGGTGCTGGAGGTGCTGCAACTCTAGCAGCCACAATGAGAAATCCCACAAGCAAGATGACCTACTCTTGCAGCAGGCTATTTCAGACAGCAGTGCTATCAGCTGGGGGTCTGCAGACTATGTTGAAGGGATCTGCAAAAGATGGCTATGATCAATCAAAAGTACATGAATACCCTCACTTAGAAGTCAGAGGGGTCTGCACTTCCATTTGAAAATTTTAGGGGTCCACAAATGGGTAAAGGTTGAAAACTACAGGTCTACAGGCCTGATCCAGCATGGGGTCAGTGCACAGGGTCAGTCTGTAGGTGCATCCGGCATATGGGGCTGGGCCAGTGCTAGATTCAGCTGTGGAGTGATTATGGTATATTGACTTGATTCAGCTGGAGGGATGGAGGTTGAGCACTGCTAATCTAGGATAACTAATTCAAGGTATCAGACTTTAGAGAAAGGAGATATTTTTCAGGATAAAGATTTTTTACCTTCAGTTTTGTGTAAACTGTACAGTTTTGTGTACCCACTTCCTACATGATAGTGGGTAGTGACTGCACTGCATAACAAAAAAAATGGCTGACAACTGTCCATCAAGATCTCCCACCTGCATTTAGAAATCCTTAAATAACATAGACTAGTCTAGTCAAGCGGAATGTCTATTGCCTTGTATCTCTTGTAAGTGTTAAAAATTGGCAGAACTGGAATGGCTGCTCACTCCATGGCATAATCTCAAATACATGGAATTCATAATTCCACAATATTTTACTCCTTAACATATGTCAGAGGATATCAGTAGTTACATTTCAAATGAAATTCAATGTATTTTTTTTTCTTCATAATTTGTATTGTTATGGGTACTTTTTGCATTTGAGGTTTGGTCTGGTGGGGTGAAGAAAGTTTTAATTTATGGAGAGTTGAAACTATGCTCGTTTACTCTAGGCCTGCTTTGGGGTTTATTTATCAGATCACATTGCCTTTGACTTTATAAAAAAAATCTGTTTTTAGTTAAAATGCCTTAGGCTTCTAAATGATTTTGGGCATAGTATGCAACATACATTAAAATGTATTTTTGTTCTTGTAGCAGGTTGATATACCACCTACAGAACTTTTAGATTCCTTAGAAACATATGGGTATCTTGTGAGCCTCACTTTATATAATCTTGAACATAGCCCAACTTATGGATAGAATTTCAAAAAAATCATTTTATAGCAAATTAAAAGAAGTAATTTGCCAAGCTGCACATGCCAAGGACTAAAATAATTTTCAATAATTCAGTTAAAAAGGTTATGTTATGTTTTTTGAAGACGACACTCAACAAAAAGTATCTCTAGCTAGGTGCGGACCCTATTCCCAGAATTTTATAACAGTCAGGAAGTAGCTTGTAATAGCACATTGGTCAACACCTCTTCCAAAAAAGTCCCATCCAATACTCACTGAAGTCTCTGGACTTCACTTCACTGCACTCACCCCAGTAAGATTTGATTCGAGCAAGTGTTTTTCAGAAATTACTCTGCCAAGGGATCTGAAGAGAGACTGCTTCATCTATTACAGCAGTCAGTAACATTCTCTGGCAGCAAGCCAGAATATCCCAGCTCAGGTCCAAAGTGGGGGCCACTGCCACTCCCTTCTACAGCTTCTCGCAGATACCCAGCCCTGGTGTGGCATGGGCAAAGTTGCCTACTGCCTTAGCTGTCTGGCCACACATGGCATGGGGAGAGCTCCCTGTTGCCAAAGCCCCAGTTCTGCAGGCTGGATCCAATGGCTCCATGAGTCAGATCCGGCCTGCAGACCATAGATTGCTGACCCCGATCTAGTATAAGTCCTGAATAATCAGCATTATGTAAATGAACCATTGCAAAGCACAAAAATTCTCATTCTTACTATTAATGCAAAGTAGTCCTCCCAACATCTTCCTTCCCAAAACATCATATTTAATAATCTGCCTCAACATAACACAGAATTTTAGACCTATATATAATCTACTAACAATGTTCAGTCGGTTTCTAAGGTGTCCTGACTTGTTGCATTGAACTACAGATCTCCATAAACATTCACACCACTGTTGTCAAACAGAGGTAAATTCACTGTTTCAGACTAAAATTTCTGTGTCTGTTGGTGTCAGATCTCCTGTGCCTTTCCAGGCAAAATGGCTAATTCAGTAGCAATTTCTTCTCTCCATTCAGGAATTTGTAGGTGTTTCCTATTCCTTCATGTTATGCAACTAATTTGGGTGACACCATCGTATGACTGGAAGGCTACTTTGTCTGACACCACTACCTGCACTAATAATTTCCTGATTGTAAATAAACACAGCTCTATTTTCATGAAGTGCTGGCAGTTGCCCAGCTCAGGATGATACTGAGTTCATTTTGCCTTATCTGCCTTACTTTGTATCTAAAAATAATCTCAGTATTCTTGGGACAGTGTTCAGAGATCCCTTTGGCAATGGCAAAAAGTGGCTTATGGTTAATTTCTGCTAAGACAGACCTCTTATAAAGACATAAAAATAATTACACCTGTAATCTTAGCCAAAGTCTCCTCTATTGGGACATATTTACACTCAGGTTTTGTTAGTTCCTGTTATGTTTAAGCTACCAGTTTCCTATTTCGGCATAGTGTTTCAATTGCCTCAGTTTCTCAACATAGTAATTAAGATATCCATCCCATTTATCCCTTGGGCATTTTTATAGGAATACCCTCAAGTTGTTCATATGGGCAGCTATAGAGTAGACACAACTTTCTTACCACCATAGACCATTCCAGAGTATGTTAAGATAGGCATGGTGGAGATACGTAGGTCTTGCTACATTAAGTTCACTCTAAGGCCTGTTCTTTCTATCATATAGAATTTATATTTTTGTTTGTGAGCCCAGCAGCTCTGGCTCTTCCCAACGCTGGTCAGAACCTCCTGTCATGCCCTTCTGCTGATTTTTTCTCCCGTAAATTAGTATTCCCTGTACCATACACAATTATTGTATTTTTCTGTGAAACATCTCAGGAGCCAAACACAACCTAAATGGCAGTCTGAAGAAACAACGTCAGCCACAAGACATGCTGAATGGACACTAATGCATATTCTGTTTGTCTAATAGCTGCTGCCAGAATCCCGCTGACTCATCAAGCTTCGAAAAATATTAAGCATTAGCCTTCTTTAAAAAATTTCTCCCCCCCACAAGGTAATATCATAGGTTCTCTTTTCACAAGTTTATTTCTTAAGGCGTTATATTAACATAAATGTTTCAGGGTGTGCATTTTTTTTCAACAATGACCAGACAGTACAGTCATCTGATTCCTAGGGCAATAAGCCTCTAATTCAGTGCAAGAAGAATTTTCCTAGGGGGTGAGTTGTGGGACAGCTAGGGCTGTACAGCTTTGTTCTAATTACTTAAAAGAGCTTCTCTACTTCATAGACCAGAACTGTCCAGCTGGTGGCCTGTGGACTATGCCACTTGCAAGCAGTTAAACTGCATCCTGTGGGCTTGTCAGCATGGCTGTCAGAGCCACTGAGCTCACGCAGGTCTGGAACCCATGAGATCAACACCGCTGCTGCTGCCGCTTCCCACACACCCTCTTGCCTGCTGCCCAATCTGGAGCCTTCACTCACCATTGGCAGCTAAAAATTGGTGGCAGGGGAAAAGGGGGATAATTAATAAATGTGTTAATTATCCCTATACATACACCCTTAACAGGGAGAAGCTCTGAGTTTTACCCTGTTATCTTCAAATGCCTGCTGTTTCACTTTCACTGCTAACATCACTGTTTCTAGCACTATTTTGGTTTGTGCATCTGTACTTGAGACTGACCGAGCTTCATGTCATCCGCTGCCCAACTTCTACCTAACCAGCATTATGTAACAGTACA